TTGAAAAAATTCAGAGACGAATATACAATGTGATAGGTCCTGACCTGGCATCTAGTCTACAATCGCTTTCCCACAGACGTGCCGTGGCTTCCCTCTGTCTCTTCAGACTGCATGAATTTAAGCGAGCTACCAGGCTGGCATCTCGGTCCCACCCTTTCACTCTCGAAACGGTTAAATGTAACCGTCTCCTCTACTCAAACAGCTTCTTCTCTCGCACTTCCTGTCTGTGGAATTCTCTTCCTCTTACTTGCTTCCCTGTTAACTATAATCTTCACATATTCAAGTGTAATGTCAATAGTCATCATCTGATACCTTTATTTTGTTCTCCGACCTTCTCCTTATCTTCTCCCCAATCACGCCTCTTTGCTCTTGTTCCCTACCCTTTGCAGCCCCTTGCGTGCTAGTGTCACTGCCCCTTTGTTTGGGGTGTAATGTTTAAAAAAAAATACTTCATCTATGAATTTCGAAAAAATTATGATTATGGTGTCTTATACTAAAATAAGGCTAAACAAGCAACAAAAATAAAATGAAAGATAAACTAGTAAAAAATATACTAATTAAAATGCTTTGTTATTGAACTTCAGGAAAATTAAGACTATTACATCTTATACTATTACAAGGTGTCACAAATTAAGACTAACATGCTATGACATCACTTATAGTACTATTTCAAGAAACAAAAAGAAGAATGAAGAAAAATGAATCCAAAAATAATAATGCGTTATCTAAGAGATTCGGATAACTTAAGTCTGGGTGCAAACAAACAACAACAACAAGAATAAAATCCTTGTTAAAATATAATAACAAAGTTTCATTTATGTAAATTAGATAAATTCAAGCTATAATGTACTACGAATGGGTGGAAACAAGGACTAAGGTAGAAGAAAAACGAGTAAGAAAAACAACAATGCTTTATCTAAGTATTTGGGACACAATAATTAACTATGATTTATTAGACAACATCGGTTGGTTCGGAGTAATGTCCTTGTTTAACGTTTCGGTCATCCTTATATAGGAAAGGTACGGAGAGGCAACTTTAAAAAAAATTATTACCTAAGGGATTTTATATGTTTGATATTATCTGTCTATATTTCTGAGATGAGGTATTATGTACATTATTTACATTATTCGGACTATTGTCCTCAAATTTGTCGCCATATTTATTACAAGGTATCGGCCGTTGTACGCTCCGGCATTCTTCAAGTTAAGGCAGTGGAGAACTTTCAGAGGGAAAATTAACAGGAGATAACTGATAACTGACATCCATTAAACATGGCACGTGGAACTAGAACAGTCTATCCCAGTGAGCGAAATAAAGGGTTCAGTTCGACATTCCAACCACCTGAAGAAGACCGGAGCGTACGGCCGAAACGTTTTAATAAATATGGCGACAAAGAGGAGGACAATAGTCCGAATAATGTAAATAATGTCTGATATTCTTTAAATAATAATAATTTTGTTCTGTCTTTTGATATAGAGCTCTCCCTGGATTTATATCTTCCTGGAACTTCAATACGGATTGCCATATTGTATCATTAGCATATATATATATATATATATTAATCAATTTCATCCCAAGCAAGGCAGTAAAACCACGAAGGTATAAAAGGAATTAGACAGTAGAAACTTTACTAATGAGTAAGAATAAAAGAAGAGTAATGAGGAGGACAGTAGAATGCGATTGAAATTGCATTTCAATTTTTGAATTATTCAAGATTACAGTTGGCTGGAAGACATGAAATCCGAGGAGAATTCCATAAGTGAGAATCGTGAGAAAAGGAACTGTTAGCATAGAAATTACAGTTGCATCTAGTCAACTCAACTGTAAAGTGATGAGACCTCATCGCCAGTCTAGTACTGAGCTTAAATTCAAATAATCTAGGTACCATATTGAAAAGCTCATCTGAATAATTATGAAATTATTTATAGAAAAAGTACAGAGAGACAACTTTACGACGGCAGGAAAGTGACTGAAGCCGAGATGCCAGATCAGGACAAATAATATTGTTTGTTTTATAGATTTTATCAAAGATCTCTCTCTCTATATAGCGGGACCACCAGACCGTATATGACACCAATATTCTAAGCATAAACGATTGCTAGACTTGTAGATATGTAAGATAGATTCAGAAGAGAAAAACTCTCGCACGACATTGTGAATTAATTTCCTCAGCATCTGACCTAGCAATGGTCAATATGGTCTTTCCACTTCATGTCAGTACAGAAAGTTAGCCCGAGAAGGCGAAACCAGTAACACTTCTGGAAGTTAGCATCAGCCATGATGATGGTAGGCAGGAAAGGCACTTTCAGATCATTCATAGATAGCAGTTTAGCTTTGGATGCGTTAAAATTAAGAAGCCATATGCGCGTCACTTAATAATAGACTGAGGAGGGTTTTTTTTTTTTATATCAGCCGCCATTTTCACCTTATCGGACCCATCAGACAGTATATAGAGAGGAATAAATGGTTGTGTCATCAGTATAGATACCATATCAATCATTTAATGAATAGGTTAGAATATTGTAGAACACAACAGACATATGAGGAAAGGCTGAAATTTTCTAAATAAACAAAAAAACACCCCCCCCCAAAAAAAACAAAAACAAACAAAACCCAGAAACAATGAAAGTAGAGCAAATCAACCCTTTGCAAATCTAATACTATTATGTCTAATACTACTAGTTGGTATAATCAGGCAATGGAAATGGGTAGAAAGAAAAAAACAGTAAAAGGATAAAAAAAGAAAATATTACTGCCTCAGCGAAAAAAATCGGATAACTTAAATCTATTAACGTATTTTCTCGATAGGCGAATGTGCTTTTCGATACTGAAGCATAAAAAGCTATTGTGAGTATAATTAAATCAGTCAAAAATATATTAGATACAATGCTTCGTTACTGAAAATCCGTTAAATTAAGACTATTACATCTTATACTACTTAAAGGAATAAGCATATAAGAAAAATAAGGTAGAAGATAAATGTACCCCCACTTCTCAATAACATGGCTGCGTTTATTGCTACCGAGAAGTTTTGAAATAACAAAAAATAAAAGAAAAAAAAAAAAAACAGAACAAGACACAAATAAACAACTTTCGTGAAAGCTAGCCCCGCTTGATTCTAATAAAAATGTCTCATGTCTGAAATTCGAGCAAATTAAGACTATTGCATCTTATACTATTATTAGTTGTAAACAGGCTACAAAATTAAGATAACAGGAAAATAGAATAATATTAACAATCTTTTATCTAAGAAATTCAGACAAATTAAAACTATTACATCTTATACTACTATTAAGTGTAAACAACTAACAAAGTAAAATAAAATAAAAACGAATAAAAAGCATTGATAAGAATGTTTCATCTATGGATTTCGAAAAAATATTTATATATATTATAATCTTATCCTACAATCATGCGAAACAAGCACCAAAAATAAGATAAAAAATAAACTAGTAAAAAAATATACAAATTAAAATGCTTTATTATTGAACTTTTGGAAAGTTAAGAATATTATATCTCATACTACTATAAGGTATAAGTAGATAAATAAAATACGGTAGAAGAAAAACGAATCAAAAATATAACAATCTTTCATTTACATTGTTCGGACTCATCTTTATCATCATATTCACAACGTTTCGGCCGTTGTACGCTTCAGCCTTCTACAGGGGATTGGAATTTCGTCCACCGTGAACAATGTAAATAATGTAAATAATTACAATACCTCATCACAGAAATATAAACAGGGCAATGTTTCATTTATCAAACTCAGATAAATTCAAATGATGACATATTTATACTGTAGCAAAAAAAAAAAAAAAAAAAAAGTACGGCTGTTTGACGTACAAGTTGTAATTTGGCTTCTTTGCAATCACAATCGGTGAGATTACCAGGAAACTTCACACACAAAGCACAATCACACAACTGGTCGGAAACCGCTGCTCATTTATTGAATGGCTCGGAAATATGCATAAGTCACAAATTTCTGTCTATTTCTGAGTATTGTAATTATTTACAGTATTTACATTGTTCGGGCTATTATCCTGATCTTTGTTGTCACGATATTCACGACGTTTCGGCCGTCGTGCGCTCCAGCCTTCCTCAGAATTTCGAACTGAACCCTTTATTTCGTTCTAGTTCTTCTGTGATATTTCAGTTGTAGTCATTTCCAATTTAACTCAACTGTCCCAGTTATTTGTTCACCTCTGCCGAGTATTGAACTCGCAACTCTTTGAGTCAAGTCACTGGATTACCAACGCTTTTATCCACTGGGCCATGTGTGAATGTCTGAATACTTGGGATTTATAACGATAATGTACACAGGTGGACGAAATAAAGGGTTCAGTTCTGCTGTGGCCTGTTTAAGGGCCAGAAAGAAAGAGACGGAACACGAAGGTAGATTGGACAAGTGTATTGAAATAACAGATATATACAAAGGAAGAGTGTTAGTAATAAGCAGATAGAGGTGTCCGTCCGAACGATCGGGTTACACTGCATCTCGGCTGCACATGCGCACGTTAGTATTTAATGAAAAGAGGAAGAGTTCATTCTACTGTAGGTGGATTACTACAACTAGTTCGAAATCCTAGTCACCTGAAGAAGGCCGGAGCGTATAACGACCGAAACGTCGTGAATATGACAAAAAAAAAGAGGACAATAGTGCGAACAGTGTAAATACTATAAATACCCACAGATTTTTCTCGGAAAGCCTCTGAGCGAGATTCTGTTGTTCTTAAACTGCAGTTTTTGGATCGGCCATATTTTCTTTTATGTATTTTGCACGCGAGACACGTGCAAGCGCGCTTTAGTTCCAGGCGGAAAGCCGTTTTCATTTTTAATAATAGGTGCAAACAAGGAATAAGATAGAAGAAAAACGAGCAAAAACAACAATGCTCTATCTAAAAAATTCGCACAAATTTAAACAATGAATGACTACGATATTGAAATATAAAAAACAATTATGAGTAAAATGGTTAGAAAACAATTTAACGCCTCTTACCTCATTAATAGCTTCGCTTCCTCTTGAGAATTGAGTCGTGCTGAGGACAAACGTGGAATTTACTCTCGACAAGAAAGACATGTAATCCATTTTGACTCGAGGTCGGACAAGTTCAAAATAGGTCCCAAAGAACAGTCCTTTGGTCGATATACTCGGAGCTATCATTTTCATCAGGGCACTGCCCAGCTGCGTAATCTGTAAGTTTCGGTCGAATATCACGTGGAAAGGAAAAGTCTTGCAAAAAGTCATCACACTGATCTTGGAGTCGGAAGGTTGGTTAGACACATGACTGTGGTGTTCCGGAAGGAGGCTTGGACCATTCGGCGCAGGCCCCATTGCAGCCAGTGCCCCTGCCCCTGTCGGTGTTGTTCGACTTGGGCAAATCGTCTTTGTGCTCGAGGTAGGCGACACGATACCCGAACAGTCAGAGGTCGGGTCTGTTTTGCTTAGCGTGATGACCGCGTGATGAATTTGCTGACTCGGTTTGTTATATTGCGACACTTCAACGGTCAGATCTGGTACGGAAAACAGAATGACACCCGTAGCCAAGACCACGCCACCCATATAGTGCCGCATCTGTGGTCGGTCGGTATAAAGATGCACAACCAATTTGCCACCTTCTGTGGCACACCTGCAAAACAGAAAGTAAGTAAGGAGCAATAAAACAAAGGTATATATATATATATATGTATATATATATGCAGCAATCCTTCTTTCATGTAAGTATAATTAAATATGACAGACAATATGCTTTGATTAAGTTGATCTTATAACTTGTTTGTTTGCCGTAGATAAATGAGACAAGAACTGTCCAAATGTTTTATTTTTTAAGCGCTTTCGGCTATTCTTTTAGCCATTATCAAGGAAGAATTATATTTACTGTTAACTGGAATTGGATTATTGTATGTATGTGTATAGTATTATACAATGTTTCATTTCTAAAGCAGTCAACATATATCCATGTTCATATTTGATATTACTGAGTACTGTTTTTGTGTTTATTAATGAGGTTTCCATTATTTTTAGCCATTTTTTTACATGTAAACAATGCTATTATATTTGTATTATCAGCTAGTATGTTGCGAATAGGGTCCGATAGGTATCCATGAGTAATTAAATGAGACCTAATTGAGCTATGGTCAGAAAGATGTAGCGTGAGTCTTGTTGTTAAGCAAGTTGTGGACAATATAATTGTTTACGAATTTTGATTGATCAAGAACACAATTCCTTAATGGACATTTAAATTCGTAAATAAGATTTGTTCTATTAAATTTTGATAATGCTAAATACACGCATATAATAATCCAATGGCTAAAGGTATAGCGGAAATCGCTTGGAAGAATAAAGCATTTGGACGGTTTTTACATAATTTATCTACGGAAAAAAAAAAAAAAAAAAATCACATGAGAAATTATATAAAAAAAACTTAATGAAAGAAACTTGTCTGTTATATTTAAGGAAGCTTGCATATATATATATATATATCTATATATCGTCGTGGCCTGACGATTGCATCTAGCATGAAACAGACTGTCGCCTCTAAGTGTTGACTTCTATGTTCACTTTTATATTTACAGACGCTCTATCTCTGATATTGAGCACTTTATCCCATAAATATAGCATATCTTAAGACTATATATATATATATATATATATCAAACTTATTATAAAACCCAGGTTGTGTGTGTGTGTGTGTGTCTGTTCATTTATATATTGGATCGTATTTCTTACATTTTTCAACCGATTTCAACAAAACTTCAGAGGACTACGTAAAATTACCTTGTGGTGGTTCTGACAGCGCCAAAAATTGGAAAAACACAATTGTTTTTGCACGAAATCAATTTGAAAACACGATTAAGAGGCATCACTGTCGCGAGAATGAAAGCGGGACAACTCATATCGAGTTATACTTATAAAACCCAGGTTGTTTGTGGGTGTGTGTGCGTGTGTGTGTTTGTTTATATATGGGATCGGATTTCCTACATTTTTCAACCGATTTCAACAAAACTTCACTTTTCTTTTTGGCAGGTAGTGTTTCTTATTGTCTACACACTTTTTTCTTTATTTTTACATTCAGAATGCTTTAAAAATGCCATTTACAAGACAATTGTTTATAATAAAATTCTACTCAATCGGTAGACACATAACGATTGAAAACAATGTTTTTGTTTGAGTTTGACCAATTCGTAAAAAAACAAAACAAACAAACAAAAAACAAAACAAAAAAAATAATTAAGACATGCGTGTCCGTCAACCTTAAACAATAATCTTTGTCAATTTTATTTTTCAGTCTTTATGATGGTCGATACAAGACATATCTCTTACTGTTACATCCCCGGGCAACGCCGGGCTCTACTGCTAGTATATATATATATATATATATATATATATATATATATATATTAGTAGTAGTATTACATTACAAATAACAACAATTCCATAAAGCTGGTAAAGGAGTAATAAGAAATCTGTGTATGCTTTTCTTTCATCTGCATCCTTTGCCCATTTTATTTTACCCACCCTTTCTTATTGTTTATCTCTCGCTTTCCATTTGCCTCCATTTTGTTTCGTTTTTCTTTCACTCTCATTTATTTTCTTTTATCTCTAGTTTTCTTTCTTATCCTCTACATTTTTCTATTTCCATTCCCTCTTTTTCCCCTTTTCCGTTTCACCCCAATTTGTCCTTGTACCAGACTAAACAAAGTTAATAAATATCCGTTGGCGCAATACAGTCTTCTTTTCCATATTTCAGCTCATCTGAACTTGTATCAGACTAGGCAGAGCTAATATTCATTGGCGCAACATCGTCTTCCTTTCTATATTTCATCTCAGTTGATCCTGTACCAAATTAAAGAAAGCTAATAAGAAACTACTCGAACAACATCGTCTTCTTTTGTGTGTTTCATCTCATTCGGTTTTGGACCAGACTAAACAGAATTAATAAATATCCGTTGGCGCAATACAGTCCTCTTTTCCATATTTCAGATTATCTGGTCTTGTATCAGACGAAAGAAAGCTAATAAGCATCCATTGGCGCAACATCATCTTCTTTTGTGTATTTCATCGCATTTGGCCTTATACCAAACAAAAGAAAGCTAATAAGTATCCATTGGCGCAACATCATCTTCTTTTGTGTATTTTATCACATTTGGCCTTTTACCAAACAAAAGAAAGCTAATAAATATCCATTAATGCAACATCATCTTCTTTTGTGTATTTTATCACATTTGGCCTTTTACCAAACAAAAGAAAGCTAATAAGTATCCATTGGCGCAACATCGTCTTCTTTTGTGCATTTAAACTCATTTGGCTTTGTACAAACAAAGCTAATAAATATCTATTGGTGCAACACAGTCGTCTTATCAACATTTCATCTCATTTTAGCCTCGTACGAGTATTCCTCTCTTGACTTTATCCAGTGCTGCAACTGATTAAATAATCTCAGTAAATGAAACGATGTGAAACGATGTTACAAACGGAATTTAAAACCAAAGACAAAAAAAAAATAAAAAATAAAAAAAATAAAATAAAATAAAATAAAAAAAAATAAATGCTGTTTTGTTTACAGTCTTTAACAATTTTATCGACTGAGTTTTTCTTTTTTCTTTCGTGACTTCAGCTCTAAGAATTCTTTGAGTGTTCTGCAATTTGTGCTGACAGCTTTGGGATCAAATTTATTTGCTTAAAACTGGTTTATTTACACCTAACCACCGAAGAATTCCTTCGCGTGTTCGCTCATTTATAATACTACTACCACGATAAACTTCTCAGTCTTGTTTTAAACAGAAACACGAAGCTGTAGCGCTATTTTTTGTTGCGTGTGTAATTGTTCTGGTTTAAATAGAGAAGCGTCATATTTATTTCATTGCTGTAGGATTTGAAGCCTTATCATTTAATACCAACAAGAAAGACCCGTGAAAATGTCACAGTTTTCCTATAGAAATATCCTTGGTGGCACAAAGCCGATAGTATAAGACACCCAGTGAGAGTCGAACTCGGACGTAATAGTTCTAGCGAGACAAGCTTGCTAACAAAAACATTGAGGTGCCCATAAACGATTTTTCAAAGTGTAGCCTAGATATGGTACAAAGCCGAAAATATTGGGTACTTAATGAGGATCGAAATCTCTATTCATTAGTAATTTGTCTGCTGAGACAAGTTTGGTAACATTTACACCGCTGCCGAAGCGCCCAAAATACTTAAGTTAATGATTTATGGCAATTTCTGTGTCAAATATCCGTACAAATTTCATTATGGTATCGTTAAATATTTGAACTTAACAACTTTAAAAAAAAATTGCAAAATCAGTGATAAATATGAATGTTGGTCATTATTTAAACTAAGGAGATACAAATGAAAAGATTTGAAATTGACAACCTTTTCCCATTTCATTGAAACAAACTTTACACATTTCTTTTTTTTCTTTCATTCATTCATACATATTCTTTTTCTACACAATCAAAACAAAATAGTCTATTATTTACTTATTGAAATAGGCGTTAAACATTTCTATCTTCCCTTCTTTCGAGCCAAATCCCCGTCTTACGATAATCTTTCTTAATAATAATTTTAAAATAATTCAATAGACGAAGTTATTTTATTATGATAACTTTTTCTTTGGCATTGCCTTACTCACTTTCCGTCGTTCGATACAGCGCGCCAAAAAAAAAAATGACGCTTTTATCTCGGTCGCCATATGTTCAGAACTTTGGCTAAGATCAAGATGTAGTATCTGTTCTTATCAGCTTAATCTGATTCTCTCTCTTACTCTCCACTTATGTCATTCCTTCCTTCTTTCTTCCTTCTTTCATTTTCTCACTGAAATCAAGTAATGTCTTTTCCCCTCTTGCCACGCGACCAAAACACTGAGTTGTCCATTATTTATAAGGTATTGGCTGGATGTAAAGGTCGTGCTAAGTAACGAAGGGAGGGACAAGCACAATTATAATAGGATAAGAAATAATATAGAATTTTAACAAATCCATCAATTACTTAAAAATTACACTCTTTACGATTCGCTTAGAAAAATCAACTAAGTAGATATAGACATCTAAATATTCCAACGAGAGACGTCAATGTCTTAATTAGGGTTATTGAGACTAGTACAGTTGTAATGACTTCACATGGCTTAATGGTAAAGCACACTTGGTTTCAAAGCGACTTTCCTGTTTAAAAAAAGAAAAGAAAAAGGATACAGGTTTGATTCTTCTCGGATTTTCGATTTCTTAACTAGTAGGCATTAATTTCAATATTGAAATGAAAACAGGGGTATCTACTCAAAAACGAGTATCAATTAGTAATATAGTTGTTAGTAATAAGAAATGGAGTATATATATATATATATATATATATATATATGCATCATGAATATATAATATGTGTAGTCATTTTTGCTATAAACACAGAAAACACTTAAAATCCTCTAAAAATTTAATTCATAAAGTGTTGTGGAGTAAATAAGACAACTTCGGTAAACACAAACACTAGGTAGGATGCCTTAAATAAAGAACGCAAAGTGAGTCAGAGAAGCGCGTCGTAGTCAGTCCCAGATTTGCGACAAGACTTGAGGCGGATTATGACTCAGTCGGGGTTCTGTCTTCGGATAGAGATTAGCTGAGAAAAACAGACAAG